ACACACATGAATATGGATGTGTGGGTGTATGGGTGTAGGTAGGGGTGAGGGATGGGTGTGGGCATGGTAGATGGGGGTGGGTTGGGTGTGAGGGTAGGGTTCAAAGAGGGTTTTAGTGTGTATGAGGGTAGGTGGTCGTGAGAGTGTGGGTGTGGGTGTGGATGTTCGGGAATATGGATGTGGGGATGGATTTGTGTGGGTGTAATGTTTGGAGGTGGGAGTGAGGTGGAGGTAGGGTGGGCTAGGCCTCGAAATTGGCATGTGGGAATAGGTGTATAAGTATGAGTGTGTATGGATATGGGTGTAGGTATAAGGTGATGATATGGGCTTATGGTTATGGGTTAGGGCTTAAGGGTTTGGGAATATGGCATAAGCTTTACGGCTTATGACTATTGGCTTTATAACTTATGACTTATGGTTTTAAGTTTAATTATTATGGGTTAAGGATTATAACTTATGGATTATAGCCCAAGGGTTCTCTCTTATGGTGTATTGCTTAAACCTCGAGGCTTATGGCTTACAAATTACGACTTACGACCATAAGTTATAAGTCATAAGCTCTAAGCCCTAAACCATAAGCCTTAATCCTAAATTTATGTGTACTAAGTCATAAGCAATAATCTATAAACCTTAAACTCTAAGCTATATAGTGTAAGCCTATAGGCCACATTCCACCCTAAGACACAATCCATTAGTTATAAACCATAACCATTAAACCATAAACCATAAGTTATAAGTCTTATACCATACACCCTAAACCCATAAACCATAGGACATACACCCTAAGTCCTACGCTTTACATCGTTAGCCATAATACTTAATCCCTAATATATATACTAGAAGCCCAAATCCATACGCCTTAAAACCTAATTCATAATCATTATTCCATATGTTATAATCCCTAAACCATATTCCATATGCCATAATCCCTAAGCCTAACACTTTATGCCATAAACCATAAACCTTTAGCTTTAAACCATACACCACAATCCATAAGCCAAAAGCTTTATGTCAAAATCCATAAGCTCTATGACCTAAGCCCCAAGCCATAAGCATTAAACATAAGCTTTGAGACATATGTCATATGCCCCTATCCACACATCCTACACAAACCTATATTTACATGCATGTACACCCACACAAACCCACCCATACACAATCTTCTCATACCCACCTAAGCACGCTCACCAACACCTATACCCAACATCAACCCTTCAATGCAAATTGCCACCCACACCCCATGTTAAGTGTATAACCACAAACAACACCCTTAAATGCTAAGTGCTACAAAAAAATGCTTATACAACATAAATAGAAAATTTATAAATCAATCATTATTGCCAATAAATGTTTAGGGTTTAGGGCTTAAATTTTGTAGCTTTTGGTTAATGGTTTAGGGTTTAGGCCATATGACATAAGTCCTAAGACTTAAGTCCTACACCCTATGCCATAAGTCATACACCCTAAGCCCTAAACCATCAGAATTAATCTATATGGGATATGTCATAAGCCATACAACCATAAGAATTAAGTTATAATCCATATGCATAAAGCCATAATACCTAATCCATAAGCCCTAAACCATAAGCCTTAATACATAGGCCATATGACATACACCCTAACCCCTAAGAGACAACCCTTAAGCGTAAGTTATATGCCATAAGCCACCAACCCCAACCTCACCCTATCTTTAACACCCACCCACAACCATTAATACTTTTATAATTATAAAGTTTTATAAAATTAAAATTGCACCTATACACACACCTACATCCTACCATCTACTCTAAGGTATGTGTATTGGGTGTAAGAGTATGAGTGGGGTGGGTGAGTGTTGGCGCTTATGTCCAACAACCACACTCTTACATATCTCATACCTACACCTCACTTATGTATACTACCCACTTACATCCCCACCAATACATACCTTAAACCCATCCCTACCCACCCCCTACACCCATCCACTTACTCCCAACACCCACCCATACTCCTATCCACCCCTATACCCACACCCTAACCTACATACACCGAAATATATCCTTAGCCACATACACCTCACTTTATCACCACTTACTCATGCATCCCCACCCATACTCCCTCTCACCGGTAACCAAACCCATACTCCTTCATAACAAAACTTAAACCCATCCCATTATCCAAATAGCCAAGTCGGATGGTTGATGCCAAATGGCCAAACATTGGTGTCAATTCGAGAATTGCACATGAAATCCCTTAAAACTAGTAACATGAACAGTAAATTCTATTAATTAATAGTATACCCATGACACCCCTAACAAAAATCGTATAATTTTGTCTATTTTCTATAATCAATTTCAATGAATATTTTTTCTAATTAAATTCATTAAATTCATTAAAATAAAAAAAAATTCATTATTGCCTCTTTTTGTGAAAAAAATAAAAATTTCCCTCCAAACCAAAAATATTTAGATCAAGTTTCTAAAAAATTTTGAATCTTCCAAAACCTAATCCGTAATATTTAAAACCTAAAAAATTATCTTCAGTTCTCGTTTTCTTGAAACTAACCAACAAAAAACTAAATAAAGTGGCAGGTGCTTAACTCGAAGAGAGAGAGAGAGAGAGAGAGAGAGAGAGAGAGAGAGAGAGAGATCTAGTTTGACCACACAAAAAAATTAAAAGCCCTAATTATATTTCCTGGTATAATTTCACTCTTGCCACAAAAAATTAAAAGCCCTAATTATATTTCCCACCTAAAAATTGGCTCTAACATTCCAATTAGTTTTTTTTTTCTTTTCTTTTTCTTTTTTTTAGAATAGCAAATCTACTCTACTTCTATAAACTACTCATAATTCCACCTATGTCTCCAATGAGACTTGAACCCTCAACCTCTAGGAGGGAGGGCAACACTCGGTACCGCTGGGCTAGAAGCCCTTTTCTCATTCCAATCAGTTCATCGGCCTCTCCATACAGATTACCCGTCGTCGATATCTCCACCATACGATCTCCTTATTGCTAGCACCTCTCTGTGACTCATCTGCCACCACTTCTCGCCTTATTGCAAGCTACATGTCTCTAAACATCGAAGCCATCTACTACCTCCCATGCCTGTGTTCCCCTTTGCGGATACTGATAGCCAACTCCCCCTTCCTCACTAGCAGTTGATGTTTCTCGTACTCACCCTACATGACGCCCATCACCCTTACCTTCACCAGATGCCTCATTACCCCGCCTCCTACCTTTTTCACATACCTCTTCTTCAAGAACCATAACTGTTCAAAACCAGATTCAAGCAATAGATTGCAATCGATATGTATATATTCAATTATTGTAGACACTGTATTCACAGAATCATAATCACTGTCTCATTGAATCCTTGGTTCCTGTCTCTTCAACAACCATTGGCAAAACGATTTTCTCTTCCTTCTTCTGTATCACTACACCACCATAGCCCCACATCACAATGACACCTGCCCCCAATTATAGTGGTGTAGCCACCATAGCAGCGGCACCAGGTAACACCTCCACTATTGCGTTAGCAACAAGTTATTCTTCTTTTCCTTTCAGACTTTAGTTATGTTTTCTTGCTATGAGTTAATATTTCAATTTGTATTTGGAGAATATCCATAATTGGATGCTAAAAGTTGTGTTTTCTTTCTTTCTTTCTTTTCAAACTTACCATTTGTCACCTCTCCATTTCAGGTATGCTTCTTATTCTTAAGGTCTCTCTCTGTTTTTTTCTTGTTTGTATCTATGTGACCTCATCTCTATTTTGAGTCTCATTGCTGCGATTTGAAGGGGCTAAAACGTAGATAGGAACCTATGACAAGTTATTCCTGGTCTAATGGGATAGAATTGATACTTAGATTATTATAAAAAAACAATAGTTGCAAATTATTATTAGAATTTGGAATGATGTGTTTGATTGTCTAATTTCTTTACATGTAGTTAGCATATGGGAATTATCTTGGAGAGGTCAAAATCAATATGGTTTGGGAGAGATACACTTGGAAGGCAAAGCCTTCTTCTTTATTGGCCAAGTACATAAGAGCCCTGATTCATGCTTTCTTCTGAATCAACAGTTGCAATTTGATGAACTACATTGTTGGGAAGAACTACATGTAGGGCCTATAACATGTCTATGAATTCAACAATAATGGATGATAATCTGATGGGTAAAGTCAAAAGGCATAATTGGGCGGACCCCTTGCTGGAAACTCATTAAGTGGGATACATTTTTTGTTGAGCCGAAACTGAAAGATTTTAGCGAATATCTTTTTACCATATTATACCATCAAACTATTCTGGTGTAATATTGTTATAACACAAAGTTAATTTTTCAGTTTTTTACTGTAATGGTAGATGACATGTTATAACATAAACTACATATTATAGCAATGTACTTTAGTTATGTAATGTTAGACAAAGTTGTATTCTATTCATTTATTTATCATACTTTTCTGTTAAAGAAAGTTGTATTTTTTCATTTTTTAATGATGTATGATCAGGTGCAATTAAAAGAATAGACGACAAAGGGCAATTTGGTCCTTTCTTATAACTGTTATTCAATACAACTATATTGTTATCTGTTTTTGTTATTATTATTATTATTATTTTGGTTTTTTTTGGAAATTATTTATGTTGAGGTAACTTTACAAAACTGTCATTCAATTTTTTTCATTAATTTATACAACCCTTTAATTGCAAATAAAGCAATGTAATTTGTAAAATGGCATGATTGACCTTTCGTCTTCAGAAAAGTCCCACACTTTTAGGAAAAGTTACACTTTTGTCCCAACATTTGTTTTGACCAAAAAACCCAAGAAACCGGTTAAATTGAACATTTCGGTCCTATTTTACCTGCAACGCTCATTAAAATAGCTTATGTGGCTAGGAGTTGCTTTCGTGGTTTCAATCTATCTTATTTAGACACACACACACATACATCAGAACTTACCTCTCTTATTTCACATTCTCCCTCCACCTTAGTAAACTAGGGTTTATACCCCCGTGCAGTTCAAGTCATGGAGAACATCCATGATTTTGATACAATAGACATGGAGCTAGACGTATACTTCAAAAAGAAACCAGTTTCCCAATGCAAATATGAATTTCTCAATATTCAATGTGAAGAAGATGATGGCAAGGCAGTAGATGATGCTCTAACTAAAAATAATATTCAAGCTAGAAATGATGCTCAAACCGGAATCAATAAAGAAGATTCAGACGAAGATTATCTGGAAGGTAGTAACAAGGAAGATAGTGATGAGGAACTTGAGTATTCCACCCATAACCCAAAGGTGAAATGGAAAAAAAATGAGACCAATGCATGGTGAAAGGTATGAATCGCCACATGAACTGAAATTCTATTTTACCAACAATGCTATAAGTAAGCATTTTCAAATTCATTTAAAAAAATGTGATACTGTTAGACTAGTGGAAATATGAGGAAGTGATCCAGGGAAGTTCTCATTCATGGTTAGGGCTTATTGGATGAGTACTGAAAGTTCATTCTAAGTCAAGAAGATATAGACATTCATAAATGTGTTCGGAATTTTATCAATTCAAGTCTTATGGATCCTACCTAGTTAGCTAGGAAATTTGTAAAGGAATTAATTAGGAAACCTAATTTAAAATGCAAGGAGATAGAGGTAATTATACAAAGTAAATTTCATTGCAAAATTTCATGGTAAAAGTGTTATAGATCAAGGATGAGGTCACTGTCATTAATTCATGGGAAATTGACTGACCACTACGCAAGAGTTTGGCATTATGGCCATAAGCTACTGAGATTCAATCTAGACAGCACAGTTAGGATTATAGTTACTATAAACCTTGATAATACCACAACATTTCATTGATCCTACATTTTCTTTAAAGTAGTAAGAGGGGGTTGAAAAGTGGATGTCGTAGGGTAATAGGATTGGATGGTTCTTTTTTGAAGGGATAATGTAAGGGTGAGCTGTTAACTACAATATGTAGGGATGCCAACAATCAAGTGTATCCTATAGCTAGGGTAGTTGTTGATGTAGAGAACAAGAACAATTAGTAATGGTTCATGGATTTGATTAATAATGATCTTTGATTGCAGGGTGGAAGGGGGTATGTATGTAATCAATGAAAAATGCATGGCAAAGTAACTATCTCTTTACCTTTTATTACTTGCAATTTATTTACAATAGTGTGTGTGTGTGTTTTATAATTAATCTTTTTTCATGTTCTAGGGTCTTGTTGAAGCTAGTAAGGATATTCGACCCTATGTTGAGCATATGCAATGTGCTAGGCATATCTATGCCAATTTTATAAAAGTTTATAGTGGAGTGGAGCTTAGAAACATGTTTTGGGTAACTATACAATCTACTACAGAAGGATATTTCAAGTTTAATATGGAAAGGATCAGGGCAATAAGTTTTGGTGCTTATGATCATCTCATAGCAAGGGAACCAACTTCATGGTGTAGGGCTTATTTCTCTACTGGCTTAGCTTTGAGGCTGTAGAGAATGGGATTGTTGACTGTTTCAGTGCAATCATTGTAAAAGCAAGACAAAAACCTCTACTGACTATGCTTAAAGATATTAGGATGAAAACTGGTTGGTGAATTATGTCCTTCAATAGTAATAAAGATGGAAGAATTTAGAGAAGACATTAAGTAAGTATTTTCAATTATTTTGTTTTTACATGTTTATATTTGCATCTTATGTTCTATCTTATGTGTTTGTAGATTTTGGTATGTATGTCCAAGTGAAGTGACTGAATATGAAGTAAGGAATGCGTTTCAAGACTATGGAGTTGACTTGAAAGGAAAATGTTATACTTGTAGATTATGGGAGCATTCAGAGTTACCTTGTATGCATGCACAAGTGTAAATTTTGTACACAAATCAAGATCCAATTAACTTCCTAAGTAGTTGGTTTAACAATAATAATTACAAGGAAACTTATGATTAGAATATACTCCCAGTTAATGGAAGTAACTTATGGGAAGAAACAAGTTACACCAAACCCCTTCCAGCCATAAAAAGAGGATGCTAGAATGATCAAGAGTTAAAAGAAGAAGACATGTTTCATAAAATCAAGATAAATAATCTCAAGTGTCAAGTAAGGGAAGAACTATCTAGTGTAAAAAATGTCTACAAAGGGGACACAACAAAAATAATGCAAGAATCCTACAGTGGTTCCTAAACCTCAACCTAAAAAATGGGTAGACCTAGGTTGGAACCTGATTTACCAAATTGGTTAGGAACTAAAATAGGATCTAGAGGTAGTGGGGAAAGAAATGGAGGTGGTAGGGGATCTATTGGAAGAGGAAATAGAGGTAATGGTAGTGGTAGGGGATTTGGTGAATGAGTCCAAACAGAATATGGTGAGTGTACTTCTGGGTTTACTAAATGTAAGCCTAAAAATGTTGCCATTCCAAATGTTAGGAGTGAAAATGGTGCAAGTCCATAAGTTTTCTTATCAAAAATCTCGAACATAGTATGCTCCTCAGCCTTGATGCACTTTGCTGAAGAGTAAAACTGAGATAGGAGTGACATGGGAACAAAATCGACCTTAGTTAGAGCGATTACCAGTAGCGAGTACTTCAGGCATTCGACGACCTGGAGCATGAATGCATCATACTTGAAATGCTCCAATTCGATGATCATGTTCCGGTTGGGCTTGATCGTGAGGAGAATGGATATAGAGGTGTGTTCTTGAACTAAAGATGATTATGCCATTGCTGAAGCTTGATGAGGAAGATGAACAGTAGAGAGAGTATTTTCCTTTTGAATGATCGAGAGATTTTGTAAGTGGTAAAGAAGAAAAAGAATTATGATAAATCCCTCTATACGATTACCAAGAGAGAGAAAATCTTTAATCATGACGTGAGTGAAATTTTCTAAAATGACGCCTGATTAAACGTGTTTTGCCAACTGTTACCCTCGAAAAAGCGTGTCAGGCGGCATGATGGTAGGTGACGGTTCATGTTTCACGTTTTTTTATGCAAAAGTTATCCATTCACCACCTCTTCACCTTATCTTAACATTTCAAATTTTTTTGAAAGAAACAAATCCTTCTTTCGCTTCCTAGTCCAAATAAATAGAGTGAGCTCCTTTCGCTTCATAAGATATAAGACCACCATTAAATTAGAAGCAAAACTGTAGAACTGAAAATTTCCATTAGTGCCACGAACAAGACTTTTGGAAAATCATAAAGATCTTCGTGCAAGAGTGTGCCAAAGAAAAAGAAATAAAGAAAATTATTTATTTAGGATATTAGTGATGTCATTAGAGACACAAAATTGATGATCCCGGGCACGTATCTCTTCCTTCAAAGTCAAGAGAGACTTAGAAGTGTCTGTGTGGTTCCTCGTAGAAGTAATATCAAATGCTTATTAAGAAGCATTGAAAGGTGTATTTTTAATATTAGGCTATAAGGATGGATTTTAGCTTCAACCGAACGTCGTGTCTTGAAATAAGACCGAAAGTTGGGTGAAGTACTTGTGTAGCCTGTGTAGCCTATAACATCAAGTGGTTTTGAATCTTTTTCAATGACTTGGTGAAATAGCAGAAATCTCAAAAACAAAATAAAACCGGATCATTTGGGAATACACGCCTTAGTTTTGGACAATTTCATAAAGATATCACAAAAATAAAAGAGATTTCTTCGTACATACCACATGAGTGGTTCCGTTAATACATGGGTGAAAAACTAGAACATTCAATTGTTCACCATTAATTCATTAAAGGTATTAGATTGTGGGTTTCACTTGGATCATGGTGAACTGTAACTAATATCATTAAAACAGATGTTGTGTAGCCTTAAACCTCAGTGGTACATGCTAATAGTATGAAAGGTTACGTTCATGGAATCAAAAGTAATGGAGAAAAATGGTGTGGTGGTTAAAGAACCGAAAGTACCTCTGCTATACGAAAGTGACCAAGCAGATAACTCTTAACTCAATGTGAGAAGGGTAAGGTAGCTCATGACTTCATTGAATTTAGCATCCTGATTGGGAAGAAACGATTTGTATATATTGATCCATTAAGGCTTCACTATAGAGTCGAATGAGGCTTTGGGCAACATGCTGCAGCATGCTTCTAGGGGCACTTAGCTAGTATATAGAATAAGAGTTTATACCTTCCCCATGATAAATTGTTGAGACAAGCAACAAATGTGTAATCATCTAGTTTAAACAAACAAAAGAAAATATTTTTGCATTTTTGATATTTCTGAAAAAGAAATAAAAACAGAAAGGAAAAATATTTTTATAATTTTGATTTTTCTGAAAAAGAAATAAAAACAGAAAGGAAAAAATAAAATGTACAAAAAAGTATACATAAAGTTTCAACCAAAAGTTTGCCTTTTGATGGATGAAGCGAAATGTACCGAGCGTTCAGTACAATTTGGTGCCCGAAAAATTCGGAACCGAAATAGACCGAGCGTTCGCTCTATTTCGCTTGTTAAAATTTTAATGAGGCGAAAGTGAAAGTTATACTTATGGAAGCGAAGGTGGTTTCGGTACAGATTCGGCTTCCATCATTCCTAAGCCCTGGAGTATTTTATTGAAGGCTGCTTTAGACAAGGCTTTCGTGAATATGTCAGCCAATTGATCAGCAGAACACACAAAATGAATTTCAACATGACCATCTTCCACATAATACTTGATAAAGTGGTACCTCTATGCTATATGTTTCATCTTTGAGTGTTGCACTAGGTTGTGACATATTCGGATTGCACTTTCAGAGTCATAATATGGTGGGATTCGCTTCATGTTTAGGCCATAGTCTCTTAACTGACTTTGAATCCAAATGACATGCGAAGCACAAGATGCAGCGGCTATATATTAAGCTTCAGTTGTGGAGAAGGATACACATGTTTGTTTCTTGGATTGCCAGCTGACGAGTTTTCCATTTAGTAATTGACAACCGCCTATGGTACTTTTGATATCTAGACCACATCCTCCAAGATCGGCATCTGAGAATGCTTGAACAAAGAATCCTGATTTTCCTGGATACCATATGCCAAGAGATGAGGTTCGCTTCAGGCATTAGAAGATGTTCTTGACTGCTACGATGTGAGGTTTGCGTGGACTGGATTGAGACATGGCATAGTAACAAACAAAAAACATAAAAATCGGTCTACTAGCTATAAGATACATTAGTGACCCTATCATTTGTTGATAGACTGTCATATCAGTAGCCTTTTTTCCAAAGATGGTGTTAGATGCGTTTCGAATGCCATTGGAACCTTCACTCTTGAGTCTCCCATCATGCCGAACTTCGCCAGTAATGTCTTTGTGTAAGCATCCTGATTGATAAAAATGCCTTCTGGTCCCTGTCTTATGTTCAATCCAAGGAAACATTTAATTAGACCCATTGAACTCATCTTAAATTTAGTCCCCATCAACTTTCAGAATTCAGTTGTTAGGCTAGAATTTATGGAACCAAAGATGATGTCATCAGCATAAATTTAGATGATCATTAAATGGTCACCCTCTTTCTTTCAATAGAAGGTTGGGTCAACCAAACCTTGTTTAAACTTGGTCATCTTAAGAAAATGAGTTAAAGTTTCATACCAGACTCTAGGAGCTTGCTTCAGACCATATACGGCTTTGTCCAAAATATAGAAATGGCTGGGATACTTTTCATTCATGAAACCTGGTGGTTGCTCAACGTATATGGTTTTTTCTAATTATACGTTCAGGAAAGCACGCTTGACATCCATCTGAAATACCTCGAAGTTTTTGTGTGCTGCATATGCAAAAAAAGATTTGAATTGATTCTAACCTTGCTACTGGAGCGAAAGTATCTTCATAGTTGATCCCTTCTTCCCGATAATATCCTTTCACCACAAGTATCACTTTGTTCCTTATGACGTTGCCTTCTTTATCCATCTTGTTGCAAAACACCCATTTTAGACCGACCACAGATGCATCAGGTGGTGTGGGAATCAATCTCCAAACCTTGTTTCGTTCGAACTCATTGAGTTCGTCTTGCATAGCCTGAACCCAATCAGAGTGATCAAGTGCAGTATTAACTGTTTTTTGTTCTATTTTGGAGACGAACGAATTAAACATACAATATTCCACTTGAGATAATAAAAGTAGTTTTCTTCTCTTTCAGTTGAGAGTGTGTAAGAACTCCCTCAGATGATTCACCAATAACTTGAGTTTTTGGATGATCTCTTGTCCGTTTTGTGAGTGGAAGGTAGTGTGGATCATAGGCTGGATCGAGTTTAGCATTGAATTCCTCTTCGAATTCTGATTGAACATCTGAATCATCATTTGTATTTTGATTCTCCCCCTCGAATGATGAGACGGTTTTAATAACAGGTTCAGAATTCTCCCCCTCGAGTGGACTTTCATGGATCATGGTTGGAGATGGGTTCTCCCTCTGGAAAGGCGAATTGGATTTATTTTCCATAGACGACCCCCCCCCCCTTTAATGGAGTGCTTTCTTTTGGAAGTTCACTTGAGATTGGAGGTTCGATTTCCATTTCTTTTGTGGCATCATCGA